GGGGGGGGGGTGCCAGTGCGCGTGCGCGAGGGGAGAGGCGGGGCCCAAAGGGCGGAGCCACTGCACAAAAGCCAGCCTCTCGGAAGAACGCTACGAAGAGCGGCGAGGGGCAGAATGCCTCGGCCAGGCCAACGCCTTAAAGGAACCGTATACTGAGCGCACTTCCTGCACCAAAGTGCTCAGCTTCAGAAGTTGACTGGTATGTGTAAGCATTGGAATGTTAGCATCAAGGTTGGCGGTTCAAACCCACCAATCCCTCCTTGGGAACCGTATAAGGGTCGCTGTGAGTTGGAAACGACTCAACAAACAAAAAATTAGTGTGCTCCTGGAATTTTGTGAGCAGCCCTGTAGCCCACATGCTGGGAAAGAGCGTTCCCGGGCTTCTGAGCAGGGGGCTCCACCAACCGATCGCCAGGCGGGCCATCAATTCTTTATTAACGCTTATGATCGCTCAAGTACCTGGTAGTGAACTGCTCGTTAATCCTTCAATTAATCCCGGCACACCTCGGGCGGACCGGTGTGAATTACCTTACGTTAACAAGACCAGGGGCAGTCCCCACCCAACCCTCCTGGCCGTGTCTTCCCTCCTGGCGTGGTGTCCTGTCTACAGCCTATCCTAAAAGCACTGTAAGCAAACAGGCTTCACAGCCACTCCCTCCTGGGGGCCCCAACACGGGCTGCAGGTGAGGCCCTGAAAAGAGAAGGGCAGGTACCGATCCTGGGCTCAGGAGTCCTGCCGCAGTTCCTGAACATGCACACCCCGCTGCCCTACTAAACCACATCGGTCTTAGATTCTTGGAGGTGGCCCTGGCCCCCACAGCTCCTGCCTCAGTCCAGGCCTTCAGGCAGACAAATCTCTATTTTTGCAATTAAAAAGACACAGGTACCTGAGCAAACAAAGGAAGTGGGACCGCCCAGGGAAGGGGAGGTGTGCGGTTGTCATAGATACGAGAGACAAAAGCTCGGCTGCTGAACTGAAGCCTAGTCCCTCCGAGGACCCTGGGAGGCAAGGCCATGGGTCCTGCAGATCTGCGTGCCTAGTTGGCCCCGTCACCTTTGGCCCACATACCCTGGAGCTGGAGGTGGGGATGCTCAAAGGGTAACAAAACCAGCTTAGGTGAAGACAGGCATTTCCATCCTTCTGGCTGCCTGGCTGGACACCTGAGCCCACCTCTGTAGCCCCTACACCTAACCTTCAGATTCACCCACCCTTTTCAGCAATGCTCTCTCTCTCTCTCTCTCCCCAAATTATGGCTCAGAATGGCTTCCTGGGCCCTTCAGCTCAAAAACCCTATCTGTTACAAGGGTTTACCAGACCTTCCCTCTCCAGCCTAAACCCAAACCCACGGCCTTCGAATGGATCCCCACTGATAGATACACTTAGGGCTGTTTCAGGGACCATAAACCTTTACAGAAGCAAAGAGCCTCACCTTTCTCCCAAGGAACGGCTAGTGAATTTGAACTGCCAACCTTATGGTTTGCACCCCATGCTTAACCCACTGCACCACCAGGGCTCCTCCAGTCTTCTTCTTGTTAGGTATCCTCAAGTCGGGTCTGACTCATAGAGACCCTGTGCCCAGTCCTACACCATTCGCACAATCACACTTGAGTCCATTGCTGCTGCCACTGCACCAATCCATCTCGTTCAGGGGTCTTCCTCTTTTTCGCTGACCCTCCACTTTACCAAGCATAATGTCCTTCTCTAGGGACTGGTCCTTCTTGATGATATGTCTGAAGTATGAAACATAAGGTCTGGCTATCCTGGCTTCTAAGGAGCATTCTAGTTGTACTTCTTCCAACACGGATTCGCTTGTTCTTTTGGCAGTCCGTAATACTTTGAATATTCTTCTCCAACACCGTAATTCAAATGTATCAATTCTTCTACGGTCTTCCTAATTCACGGTCCCACTTTCACATGTATGTAAGTCTGTTCAAAATACCATGACTTGGATCAGCCACACCTTAGTCCTCAAACTGACATCTTTGCTTTGAACACTTTGAAGAGATCGTATGCAGCAGATTTGCCTAATGCAATAATATGTCATTTGATTTCTTGACTGCTGTTTCTATGAATGTTGATGGCTGATCTGAGCAAAATGAAATCTTTGACAACTTTAATCTTTTCTACAACTATCATAATGTTATTTATTGATCCAGTGGTGAGGATTTTTGTTTTCTTTATTTTGAGGTGCAACCCATACCCCATACCAAAGGCTGTGGACCTTGATCTTCATCAGTAAGTATTTTTACTTCCAGCAAGCAAGGCTGTATCTTGCAAAGGCTTTCAACTGACTATGTGGATCATGACACACTACGGACAGTATTGTGAAGAATGGAGATTCAAAAACATTTAATTGTGCTCATGAGGAACCTGTACAAAGGCCAAGAGGCAGTTGTTTGAACAGAGCAAGGGGATACTGAATGATTTGAAATCAGGAAAGCTGTGCACCAGGGTTGTATTCTTTTACCATACTTTCTCCAACTCGCCCAGCCCAGAGGGGTGTTGTTGTTAAGTGCCTTCATCAAGTCGTTTCTGACTCATAGCAACCCTGTAGAGGGTTT